AGATAGTGAGTAATTGAACTGCAGTCAGAAGTATTATTGACGTTCGTTGATACAGCGTTTGTTTTAGCGCGATTGTTGAAATTAAGTGTATCGTAAAGTTATATTCGGAAAGAATAAACCAGTTTTATTAAGTAAGGACTTGCGTCGTTAAAGTTTCGTCGGAACGAAGTTAAGGAAAGTTAATTAACAAACGGAGACGTAACAATATGATGATGGATGGAAGTTGGAAACATACATGTATGACAGTATATATTTGTGTGTGTGGGAGAGGTTTTGCATACATGTATAACACTTTACGCAAAGTCATTCATAAGTGTTATACAACATAAAATGTGTTCTCAATCTCTGAGATTATAACCAGTAAGTAACTTCTGAATGGGAACGCTACAATTCAATTCGGTTAGAAGGTTAAGACATCGAGGTATGAAGTAAAATATGGTTATTGGCCCGTATGGAAATATTTGAAGAAATACTATGCCTGTTGTCTTCATTGTGGGTGTGAAAAAGTTGCGGGTTGACATTGAAACAATTGGCATGTTGTGGACTTTATGGTAAAAGTTAAGAGTAATTAGCCTTATGCCATTCATGCAAGAAAATACAGATTGACGTTTTTTTGCGAGAGTTGGTCAGAAGTATTTCTATTGGTTCGAAATGAAATACGAGTAAGATGAATTTATCTGTAGAAAGTAAACTTCATGAACAGTATCACAGAGCATAACAGTTGTAAACTAGGTGTATCCAATGTTTTAAAGTGTTATTTGAAATATTTTAAAAGTACACGGGTTAATGAATATACTCTTAACATTTTCCATTGCAAGGTCATTTATCACACAGGAAAATACAGACTGTGCACGCAGTATTAGAGGCGACAAGTAATACCTCCGCGGCAAAGTATAGCTACTCTCTTCTGTGATGAAATTGGAAACGAAAAAAGTCTTAAAAGAGGCAAAATGTTGGTATTAAGGAATGTCCACAGTTGGAAAAATGAAGTTAGCGCCTATGTAGCGTTTGATTTGTTTGTTTGTAGTTAAGCACAAAGCAACAAAATGGGTTATCTATGCTGTGCTCAACATGGGTATCGAAACCCAGTTTTTAAGTGTCAAAAGTCCACTGTGGTACGCGGCATTTGATCTATTACATTTACTAGTGTGGCTACCTTACTCAGCAGTCTCACCCCCATTTCTTTCCTAACAGGCCATATTCTAGTTAAGAAAATGTGATGGAGTACAAGCTGAAGTGTAAGTGCGAGTACACGTATGCCTGTAGATTCACTATAGATATATAATAATGGCTGGAGACGGCTTAAATGGGTAATGAAGAAAAACTTTAATATAAGTTTAACATGACAGATAGACACTATAGATATGTACTAACTTTTTAACACACTGATCTTGAAGGGAATTTTGAGACAGAATATTATTCTTACTTGGATTTTACACTCACACTCTTGAACGTGTTTTTGTGACCAATCATAATTCTTTTGACTCTGAATTTTCAAGATTAAATTCTTATTCCCTCTAGCTATCTTTGTTTTCAACCTTCCGGCTGGAGTGAAACATTTTCCGAGTTGCTTTTCAATCACGAATCTCTGCATTAACCAGTTATACTAGGGGTTCGCCTTACATTTATATCATCAGAGTCTATGGATGAAGATATGTTGCTCAAAGACACGTCCAACAAATAGCCTATGGTGGAGATGATGATTTCTATACTACTCAAACAGCCAAATGATTCCACATATACAACAACTTTGTGAAAAATTCACAGAGTTCTATCATTGTTATGAATTCAGAATGTGAGTACAATTTTCAGTCAACAAACTTGGTTTTTCAGATAGCAATGCTTTTGATTTCAGACATTACACAACAGCTATGCCATTTCTGCTATGTTATAGCACTAATGATAATTCAAAAGGGAAGCTAAATAGCACAAACACTAGGACAAATAGCTTCTTTGAGTCAGCACAGTTTGATTTATGGACAGAAAACAGTATGTTTAATACACTGGTTCTTCTATCCCAACAACATATGATGACAATGTATTAGTTTGCATTCACAGCACATGATGAGACACCACTTACATAACCAAAGCTTCTTTCTCAACATGGATGCATGCAGTACACCAACTTCAGAATAAATCTGGTTAAACTGGATAGTCTTTCCTCAGAACTGCCAACTCTTGTCTAACCAAATTGGTGGGGTTTGACCATCACCAGCACATTTATATGGGAACATGCCGTATACTATTTAGTTACAGATTCACAGTTTGAGTACACCAACCACTAGGCCATACCCAGTCTTTAGGTATATGGTTTCAATTTTCCAAGATCTTTGGCTTCAACTCTCAGTGTATTTTGAACTGTCTGCCTTTGTGCTATTTGCAGGGGAAAAGTATGAAAATGGGATTGTTACCATCGGCTTTTACATAAATTACAATTTCTCCAATATGTAATGGATTCTTGCAGGCTTGCAGACAGGGGGCAACTGCCCAGGGGCTCGGGTGAATGAAACCTGGTTATGCCGTAAAGTCCACAAAGAATCTTTAGGCTATATCTTCATTTAATGGTAAAAACCATAGTTTTTGGCTTTTCTTTGCACATAAATTAAGAACGACTGAAATAATTTGAGTAATAATTAGCATGTATTTGTTACTTTATAGATTTAATAGATACTTGTTACTTTATTAACGTTTTTACGCTTATACTGTGAGGTAAAAATAGCTGCTGCTATGATTTTGTCTGGTTTAT